AACTTTACGACATATAAACCGTAACGACTCTAGAGCCACATCAATCCGTTTGACATTATAATTTGTTTAATTCAGTTTTGCGCAACTCTCACAGAAAAGAAACTTAAAACCGCATCGCTAATTTGCATAAACTCAGCGAAGATAAAACTACAGCTCTTCAGGTTCAATTTCTGTTGGATTAAAAGACATGATTCAGTGGAATACAGGTTAGTGTGACCAGATTTGCGTTTGTCAAAACCAGGACACTGTACGGGGGGAGGGAGGTGGGGACTCGTCATCGACATTGCGCGACTCTCACCTGGTAAAACTTTTTCCCACTGGACACCGAAACATATGTTCCCGCTTTGTACGCTGTGCACATGGACTGTGCACATGGACTGTGCACATGGACTGTGCACATGGACTGTGCACATGGACTGTGCACATGGACTGTGCACATGGACTCCCACTTGTCCCGAACGCAACGGAAAGTGTGGAATTTCTTGTACAAATCATCGTTAAATACACATTTGTGCTTCGGTACGCTGCAGACTGACCTACTGTTTGTGTTTGCTCGCTCCTTCTGAGTGCAGAGAGACACATGTACGGACCCCTGTTTGGTCACGCTTCGGACAGCAACCTACATTCGGTTTGTCGATTAAAATTAACGTAATCGATGAAATTCTTAATGATCAATTATCGATTAATCATGCCCATCCCTAACCAGGACTAAACCAGGACTAATCTACGTCTAAACCAGGACTAATCTATGTCTAAACCAGGTCTAAACCAGGTCTAAACCAGGTCTAAACCAAATCTAAAATAGTTCTAAACCAGGTCTAAACTATGCTTAAACCAGGTCTAAATCAGGTCTAAACCAGGACTGTAACAGGTTCTTCTCTGATCTCCAGTGGGTTCTTTTCTGCAGATGTCCCCAGACTCAGTGCTCAGGGATAATTGGTTCAAAAGACAGAATATTGAAATGTTAAAAGGTCAAAGGTAAAACATGAGAATCAATAGAAGTGAACAGACACTTCTGATTAAGGCCTGGTCTAGACCTGCTTTTGACCTGCTTTTGACCGAGTCCTCATTTAGACCTGATTTAGACATGGCAAATCCCTTGGTGAGGCCTGGTTAAATTCTGGTTTGAGTCTAACTTCAAATCTGGTTATGCCCTGGTTTATCTTAATCCTGGTTTAGTCCTGCTTTAGTCCTGCTTTAGTTCTGGTTTAAAATTGCTTTAGTCCTTTTGTAGTCCTTCATAGTCCTTTTGTAGTTCTGATTTTAGTCTGTTTTTTAGTCTTGTCTTAATCCTGCTTTAGTCCTGGTTTAGTCCTATAGTTTAATCCAGTTTCAGTCCTGGTTTAGTCCTGGTTTAGTCCTGGTTTAGTCCTGGTTTAGTCTTGGTTTAGTCCTGGTGTTATCCTATAGTTTAATCCAGTTTCAGTCCTGGTTTAGTCCTGGTTTTGTCTTGGTTTAGTCCTGGTGTTATCCTATAGTTTAATCCAGTTTCAGTCCTGGTTTAGTCCTGGTTCCCTCTTCCATTTAAACCCTTCGGGACTTTGTAAATGTAAAATCCATGTATCTGTATCTGAGACCAAATTAAAGCGTCAAATTAACGGTAAAGGCTCTGGTTTCCACACAGAGAGAAAGAATCACATCGATTTTACTCCAAAACAATAAAAGGAATCACAAAAGAAAATTAGACCCTCATTAGGAGACGCACAGAGAGAGGGAGAGAGAACGGAGAGAAAGTACGGAGAGAGCGGGAGAATATGGATTTGAGCGCACAGACAGCTAATAGAAACAGACTGGGAACGAACAATTAAAGGGTTTTTGTTCTACAGTTATTGGCTGAGTGACTTTATTGGCTCGTATAGTGATTACACGACATGAAACCATTTGGAAGACGCTGCGTTCAAATAAAACCATTTACATGTGAAATTTATCCACACAAGCAGTCCTGGATTAGTCCTGGATTAGTCCTGGATTAGTCCTGGTTTAGTCCTGGTTTAGTCCTGGTTTAGTCCTGGTTTAGTCCTGATTCAATCCTGGTTTTGTCCTGGTCTAATCCTGGTCTAATGGTATTTTAAAACTTGGGATAGTCCTGGTTTAGTTCTTCTAAACCAGAACTAATACAGGACTAAATCAGGACTAAACTAGATCTAAACCAGCTCTAAACCAGCACTAAACCAGAACTAAACCAGAACTAATCAAGGACTAAACTAGAACTGAACCAGGACTCAACCAGGACTCAACCAGGACTCAACCAGGACTAAACCAGGACTAAACCAGGACTAAACCAGGACTAAACCAGGACTAAACCAGAATTGAACCAGTACTGAACCAGAACTGAACCAGGACCAGGTCTAATGCTATTTTAAACCTTGGCATAGTCCTGGTTTAGTTCTTTTTTTAGACCTTATTTAGTCCTGGTTCAGACCTGGTGAAGTTGTGGTTCAGACCGAGTTTAAGCTTGGTTAAGTCCTACCATACATGGTGATAGATAGATAGATTTATATTATAGATAATCTTTTTTTGTTTTTTAGTTTAGTTTTTAGTTTAGTCCTGGTTTAGTCCTGGTTTAGTCTGGTTTAGTTCTGGTTTTAGTTCTGGTTTTGTCCTGGTTTTGTCCAGTACTTTGCAGTTTCTCTGTCTCATGATCCCTCAGAGTTTTGCAGGTCACAGTTTTTCTAATTTTAAACTTTATTTGCTTCACTCTTCGCTCCATAAACAGACTCTGTGTTTAACCTAATGTGAAAATAATAAGATCTATAACACAGACGACGAGGAGGAGGAGGACGACGAAGAGGAAGAGGAGGGGGGCTATTACTGCAAAAGTCCCAATTACATCTGTGGAGGAGAGGAGAGAGAGATGAGAGAGAGAGAGAGAGAGAAGAGAGGAGAAGGAGAGAGAAAGGGGAAGGAGAGAGGTATGATAGAGAGGAGAGAGAGGGGAGAGGAGGAGGAGGAGGGAGGAGAGGAAAGAGACAAGGAGGAGAGGGGGAGGAGAGGGGAGGAGAGGGGATGAGAGGAGAAAGGTATGAGAGAGAGGAGAGACAAGGGGAAAGGGAGGAGGGGAGAAGAGAGGAGGGGGGGAGGTATGAGAGAGGGGAGAGGGAGAGGAGAAGAGAGAGGTATGAGAAAGGAGAGAGGAGAAAGAGAGAGAAGGGACAGAGGGGTAGGAGAAGGGGATGAGGGGAAAGAGGTATGAGAGACAAGGGGAAAGGGAGGAGGGGAGAGGGGGTATGAGAGAGGAGAGAGAGAAGAAGGAGAGAGAAGGGAAAGACGGGTAGGAGAAGGGGATGAGGGGAGAGGTATGAGAGAGAAGAGAAAGGACAAGGAGGGAGGGGGGGATGAGAGGTGAGAGAGAAGGAGGAGAGGAGAGAAAGTGAGAGGAGAGGAAGGGGGTAGAGAAAGGAGAATGAGGAGAGAGAAGGAAACGAGAGAAAGGGGGTGAAAGGAGAGAAGGAGGAGAGAGAGTAGAGGGGGATGCATGCTGATTCTATTGTGATAGCGCTCTGAAGGGGGAGTGACTTAACAGGGAGAGCAAAGGGAGGGGTAGAGGGTCCAGAACAGAAGTGAAGCTAATAAAATATGATAATACAATGTTTTTAGCGACAATTTCAGCCCTGAAATCTCGAACTTTAATCTCCAGAGGTAAAAGGAGCTGTTCACTTGAAAACTACCACTTCATGACATCACAAGGTGGAACAGCATCTTGAGCTTTAAAGATGTAGACAGACTAATAATAAAGTGTTACTCAAACATGTGAATGAAACGAAAACACAACTCCAGGTGTGTTTCTGAAGAGGGAACAACTTTGTAACATGGCCTAAAGCTCACAAAAGTCGACTTTGTGTAATATTAGACCTTTAAATTAAATTCCAGAATAAATATTTTCTTCTGTCTCTTTTGCAGCTCTGCTTTATGCCACCATCTTTGGAAACGTGACGACCATCTTCCAGCAGATGTACGCCAACACCAACCGCTACCACGAGATGCTCAACAACGTCCGAGACTTCCTCAAACTCTACCAGGTCCCCAAAGGTCTGAGCGAGAGGGTCATGGACTACATCGTCTCCACCTGGTCCATGTCCAAGGGCATAGACACAGAGAAGGTACTGGACCAGGACTGGACCAGGACTAAACCAGGACTAAACCAGGACTAAACCAGGACTGGACCAGGACTGGACCAGGACTGGACCAGGACTGGACCAGGACTGGACCAGGACTGGACCAGGACTGGACCAGGATTGAAACACCAGGCTTTGACAAGAAGGTATGACCACAATTACAGTTACCATTATAGTCACAGCTGCCCTGGGACAGACTGACAGAAGTAAGACTTCCCAGCTGCACCATCAGCCCCTCTGACCAGGCAATGTTGGTGAAGTGTTTTGCCTAAGGAAACAACAACAGTCTTTCAGGTTTTTTGGTTGGGCGACCACTGCTCTAACCACGGAGCCTCTACCAGGACTAAACCAGATCTAAACCAGGACTAAAACAGGACTTAACCAGGACTAAACCAAGACTAAACCAGGACTGAACCAAGACTAAACCAGGACTGAACCAAGACTAAAAAAGGACTTAACCAGGACTGAACCAAGACTAAACCAGGACTGAACCAAGACTAAACCAGGACTGAACCAGGACTAAAGCAGATCTAAACCAGGATTAAACCAAGAGCAATCGGTGGCACGAGTCTGGCTTGGCACACCTCCAGTGCAGTGTTCGCTTTACTTTGTCGTCTGCATTTGACCCATTTCATGAATCATGTGCATGATATTAGATGTGATAGGCCTAACAGACACAGGTAGTAGCTACATCAGTATCTGCACAAATCTGTTAAATGAACCTAATGTCCATCTTAAATTTCACCTGTCCAGTCAGTATTATTTACTTTTCACTTTACAAACATGCACGGACTGTAAAAAACAGATAATGTATTCCCAGAATGAAATGCATGCATTGGAGGCTAATATAACGTGATTAACAAGTAAATATAAGCTTTTGTACTGTCCTCACTGAGATGTTAGCAGTTCCAGCTTGACAGCGAGCTAAACTCTGATTTGATGACGAGACAGTTGTAGTTTTCAGATTTAATGCTCATCGTTTGAATGCAGAATGAAAAGGCGCTGCTTCTGTAGGAGTTGCAAGTTGCGAGATTCAAGTTTGATTTGTAGCGGTATGAGTCTGTTTTGTTGCCTCTTTGTTGCCTCTTGTTGCCAACATGTGTTCTCATCTCTCACATATTTTCATACTTCCGGTTCCATGGACTGGGGTGAAGTACCAAAATAAAAGCATGAATTGAATAAAACTATATGCATTAAAATTAACTAAATAATGTCTGAAAGACAGAACAGCTTTGATATAGTCAGACTGTGTCTTTTTTAAGTTTAATGAATGAAATAATGCGTGTTTTTAAATTACCTCAGAGCTACACTGGCCAAGTGTTTACAGATTTAGTCCTATGTCTGTGAAAATGTGGCATTTCCTCCTTGTAGCTTCATTAATCACTCTGTGGTCTTCTTTTCCATTAACAGTAAAAACATTATTAGTGTTTGATGGAAATCTGTCCAAATATGAAAGTTTGAGTGCACTTTTCATCGCATTAGTTACAAACTAGTAGCCAAATTTTAGCTCCAAGGTCCACTTTTCACTTTTGCGGGTGTTTTCTTAGTTTTCACTGCAGATCGTTGTATCGTTTCTCTATTTGCAGCGCATTGGATGGTGATACATTTGTTTTGTTTCTTGCAGTGCGTTTTTTCATTTTGCACCGTGTTCTTTGTTGTGTTTGACTTTGTGAATTTGCAATCGTTTCTGTACTTGGAAGTTGTTTTCTAACTGAGACGCATTGGGCCACTGTAGTGCGTTTGGTGCCCCTTGGCCACCATAAAAGAGCCTTTGATGAACCAACCACTAGAAAAGTTACACAATGCACCTTTAAAATTGCCAGAACAATAAAGTGCTAAGATTTGTTCACAAGGATAGCTTCTGAAGGAACAAACCTGGAACACTATAACAGACTCCGCTGAGACTCACCGATCAGTCTGCTTGACCATTTAATGATTTGATTAATTTTTGTCCTATTTTTCAATGCCAGTTTGAACTGGGACCACAATAGAATCCTTCCAAAAGATGGAGACATGCTGTGTTTTCAATGATTGAGTAAAAATATACTGAAACACTCTGCTGAGCTCTTTGGCACAGTTATATTATAAGTATTTTTCCTTGTACCTGGAATTATAATATTGTCCTTTGTATTGAAAATATGTGATGTGAATGATATGAATAGGGATATGTTTGTTATGTTTCACCAAAACACCGATAGAGCGTCTCTACACACAGAGAACTGCCTCCAGACAAAACTCTACACAAAAGAACACATTAAACAGCAGAAGACATAATCCGGCTGCTGCATTTATTTTCAGCATATTATAAATTATTGCTTCCTCTGTTGTATTGTTTTGTAACCAATAACAGGTTCATATGAAACTGTCCTCTTCTTTATGAGTTTTGGTAATTCTGGTGGCCTGTGCAATTCCCCTCTTTGCCACAAGAGTGCAGAAGACATATTTTACTGTTGTAGAACGGAACAGTTTGGTGGTTATTGTTGTTAGGCATTAGATGGCACAATTGTTCAGTATAAACGTCATTGTATGGCCTTTTGGTTACTCCAGTTCAGACAGTGTTTTTAGGTTTATTTTAGTTTTTATACAATATTTTTATTCCCAATGCCTAGTTCTAAATATATGCATACAGCCCTTTTACAAAAAATGTTTCGTCAAAGTAAAAAAAATATATACTTATAAGGTATATTTTTTTAGCACTAAAAACATTTTAACCATGTAGTCTGAAATTTTCCTTAAAATGCAGTGCATAAAAAATAAAACATATTACTATTATCAAATGGAACCTGGAAGTCTGTTGCCATACTGTGGAACATTTTAGGCAAAGCAAAATCTCCATGGTGACAAACAGGTCTCTCTACCAGAAAAGTTATATAGTGCAAGTTATAGTGGAGAGGTAGCTGGCTGGTTTCTGTCACCTGCTTTTCTCCATGGAGATGTTACTGTGTTGCCTGGATGCCTGAATGTTAACACATTTATGGCAAAAAGAGAAATTCAGTTTGTCAGCTGGACAAAAGTTTATTTGGTCAAATACATTTCGCAGCTCATCCAAGCTGCTTCTTCAGTTTTGGTCAGAATACTGGTGGACACTTCCTTATATCTTCTTGAATAGAGGAGCTAACTACTCTGAAACTACTCTGAAACTAACACACCTACTTGTTTACAGTTTCTGTTAGTTAGCTAGGCCTCTTGAGTGTGGGGTCTTATTAGCAGAATCATTCAGGGTCATGATGGGTTCTTCCACACCTCTGGACCTGACCTGGATACACCTGTTGTTCTCTTGTTTGTTTTGATTTAGGTTTAAGGATGGAGTTGTAAATAGGAGATAGATGGTGTCTGAGGCCTCCATTTCTGTTCAATGATGTCTTTTCTTTCCTAACAAAAATCACTTCTTTAACTCCCCTCTCAAACCAATTATTTTCTCTGGCTAAGATATGTACCTCACTACCCTCAAAGGAGTGGTCCTAGGCTTTTAGATGGAGTTGTATGTCGGACTAAGGTCCACTATTGTTCTCTCGTCTGTGTTGGTACATCCTCTTGTGAAGTAGCTGTTTAGTTTCTCCAGTGTAGCACTCATTGCAGTCTTCTACACTTAATGGAGTAGACCACATTGCTTTGTTTGGGGCTTGGTGTTTTGTCCTTTAGGTGGACAAAGGCAACAAGCAACATAGTGAAAAAATACACTGATATGTTTCACGGTGTTGGCTGTCTACCAAACAAATATAAAATACAACTAATAGACAATGCTGAACCAGTGATACACCCAGCCAGAAAAGAGTTACAGACACTTGAAACTTGAAAAAAAGATCATTAGAAAAATTGAGGAAGCAACAGACTGGGTGAATTCTCTTGTGATTGTGGAAAAGAAAAATGGAGATCTGAGATTGTGCATAGATCCGAGAGATCTGAACAAGTGGATTTTAAAAGAGAACACTTCAAATTGCCCACAAAAATTGACATAACAAGTGCAATGGCAGGGGCATGCTATTTTTCCAAACTGGATGCTTCATCAGGCTTTTACCAAATCGAAATGGACGCGGAAAGCCAAAGCTTTTGGGAGACACTGTTCTCTGTGCATGCCTTTCGGGATTGCTTCAGCACCGTAAGTATTTCAGAGGACTGTATAGCACATGTTCAATGGAATGGAAGGAGTCTGAGTATTGATGATGTGGTCATAACAGCAAAGCATTCGGGACTGAAACTGAACAGACAAAAATGTCAGTTTGAGGTGAGTGAGATTACTTGCCTAGGAGACAAGCTATCCACAGCAGGGATACAACTAGACCACAGGTGTCAAACATAAGGCCCGGGGGCCAGATCCGGCCCCCCAAGACCTTTAATGTGGCCCTTGGGTGATTTTCTACTAAAATATTTTAATTATATTTTCTATTAAAATATTGGTAATTTTCTGCGGTGCTTAGCATAGCAGCGTCTCTAGCGTCTCTGTACGTGGCCCCTCCCACCAGAGCAGCACAAATGAAGACTTGTCTCTTTCCAAATGCTCTTAAAGGACGATCGTTTTGACTGTTGACCGTGACACCCTCATCAGAAACATGTCACAAATGAGAAAAGTGGACGCTGAGTGCAGGATTTTCTGAGAAAAATTGACTTATTCCTATTTGCATACAAGTTCATGTTAAAACATTGTGTTGAAATTGAATTTTTCTTAAAGTTTCAGATTGTTCATAATATTATAATATTATAATAAGAAAGAGTTCATCAATTAAAAAAGATGTCTGTAATAGATTTGCGTTTCTCTGCACAAATATTTGAAATTATTGTTATTTTGGGGGTTTATATGCCATGAGTTTTCTGATCCGGCCCCTTTGGGATCAAAGTAGGTTGGATACGGCCCCCGGACCAAAATGAGTTTGACACCCCTGAACTAGACCCTGAAAAAGTAAGAGCAATAACACACATGCCCATACCAGAAAACTAAACAAAACAGACTTACAAAAAGCACCTGGCTTAGTAAACTACATAACCGAGAGAAAGTATACACAGATAGAAATAGAGACACTAGGGACAGTGTTTGAATGTGAAAAGTTTCCTGAATACATCTATGGCAGAGAAGTGATGCTTGAGACCGATCACAAACCACTGATCGTAATCTCCACCAAACCTCTTGGAGAGGCATCACCTCACATCCAATGCCTGCTGCTTAGCCTGCAAAAGTACAGTTTAACATTTGAGTTCACACCAGGTAAACAGCTCATTGTGACAGACACACTGAGTCAAGCTTCACTGAACTGTACAGAACTAAGCAAGACTGAACCATGATGTGCAAGTGCATGTGGATGCAATGCAGAAGTGCATGCCTGTGTCACAAGATAAATGGAAACAAATTGCAGATTCAAAAAGCTGCAAAACGTGATAAACCAGATCCATCAACCAGGTGAGAAAAAGCTGATCCACCCATATCAAAACTTCAAAGAGGGACTGTCTGTGGTACAAGGAGTGCTACACAAAGGGAAACAGATTGTTATGTCTGCAGAAATGCACTTACAAATGCTTCAACTCACACACAAAGGATATTTAAGCATAGAAAAGTGAAAAAGATGTGAAATAGCTTTACTGTACTGGCCACACATGAACAAAGACATAGAAAACTATAAAGATTAGACCACAGGTGTCAAACATAAGGCCCAGGGGCCAGATCCGGCCCCCCAAGACCTTTAATGTGGCCCTTGGGTGATTTTCTACTAAAATATTTTAATTATATTTTCTATTAAAATATTGGTAATTTTCTGCGGTGCTTAGCATAGCAGCGTCTCTAGCGTCTCTGTACGTGGCCCCTCCCACCAGAGCAGCACAAATGAAGACTTGTCTCTTTCCAAACGCTCTTAAAGGACGATCGTTTTGACTGTTGACCGTGACACCCTCATCAGAAAAATGTCCAACATGAGAAAAGTGGAGCCGAGTGCAGGATTTTCCAAGAAAAATTGACTTATTCCTATTTGCATACAAGTTCATGTTAAAACATTGTGTTGAAATTGAATTTTTCTTAAAGTTTCAGATTGTTCATAATATTATAATATTATAATAAGAAAGAGTTCATCAATTAAAAATGATGTCTGTAATAGATTTGCGTTTCTCTGCACAAATATTTGAACTTATTGTTATTTTTGGGGTTTATATGCCATGAGTTTTCTGATCCGGCCCCTTTGGGATCAAAGTAGGTTGGATACGGCCCCCGGAACAAAATGAGTTTGACACCCCTGACAGTCAATGGTTTCCTTTTTCGTCCTTCCTGTGGATCAATCCTGCCCATCGCCTTCACCTTTCACTATTTTTCAATTCTGTTGGGAAGGGAAACAGTTTGAACAGAGGTTTGAGTCACACACATCTGATTCCCTTTTGCAGTTATGGAGTTTGCAAAAAAAATTCTCGAGTCGTTTTCTGCTGTTAGGATCCAACAACCACACAATTACAATGTCCGAATCCCAAAACTAAAATATAACAATATCAGAACCAGAAACAAAAATGATATGGTTCAAAAGACATGAAAAGATCGACTTTGTCAATAGACACATCCCACTGGGAAAACAAACATGGAGGTTTGATGCTCACTTTTTCGGAAAATCCTTCCCAGTGTGCATTGCACAGTGACCGGAAGTCCGAGATTCTTGATGCGTGTATACACGGCATCCGAACGCCGCACAAACATCCCGTGAGGTACACAAACATGTGATGAATGTTAAGCATTTATCATCCTAATATACTGTATTTCCAAATAAAAGAAACCTTGAGCATGTTTACATGTTGTTTTTCAGTGGACTAGTTTGATATTTATTTTTACGATTCTGACAATTGACCGAACGCTGCACTCTAATCGATATTCAGGAATGGCACATCTCTTGTTTAGAGCTCCACGCCCCAGAGTGCTGGCATTCAAGACAGGGTTCCTTGAAGACCTGCCTGCTCCTGTCTGCCCCTGCCTTGCTTTTACCTCATACTGTGTTCGGTCTTCTGTCTTGTTTTTCTGTGATTCTGATGTGAAGTTTTAGTTTGTGAATAACACAATACACAACAAACTGTAATTTTCAATAGTAATCAAAGTTTCTTTATTATTACCATGCTGTGAAATGTGTTGCATTAACAGAAACTTTGTAGAGAGCACAGGTAAAACAATCAAGACCAAACTAATCAGGAAATGTATGTGATTTTGTTCTCATTATAATACTTGTTTATACTCATTCAGTTTCAATAGTGGTGGCAGTATAATGATTTATCCACTTTTTATCCACTTTTTTGACATAAGTAATCCCTGGCCTTAATATTATTTCCCTGTGATCCAGAACACACACTGCTCCAATACTTTAGGAAGATGTGAGTTTGGTTACCAGTGAATCTCTCTTGACAGTTGGATTAACCAATCAGGGTCATCAATGGTCCATCTATATCAAAACAAATACAGCTGCTTGTGAAGAAAAAAGATGGAAAACAATCAGGGAACCGAAAAACATGGCAGCTTTCTGCAGAATCAGTTTAGGAAGCACTAAAGTCGGTTCATCTAAGGTGAGTTTTAGATGTTTTAGATGCATCAATGAAATAAACAAATCTAGAATGCTAATGTTCACACAGCTGTGTTCAACACCAGAGCTCTCATGAAAACACGATGTGCATCTTCTGTCAGTGAGTTTAGTATGTAATAAAGTGCTCTGTAGGTTGTAAAACTTGAAAGACCCATTGCAATTGGTATTCCAATAACTGGGACAAACCTGACCCCTTCCTCTAAAGCTGATGCTGTAATGCGAGTGGCAGACATGGACAGTACTTTTACCATCAGATCAAGGGTTGCATCACCTGCTGATGACAGAGGAGATTTTAACTCATTTAAGAGATAATTTAAAGACACCCCACTAACATCAGACAGTTTCTGCAAAGAATGAACAGTAAGACCCAGTGAACTCATACACTCTACAGTAAAAGCAAATATCATGTTCAGATCAAGACCCTCAGAAAAACCAGGGACAGGCACAGCTGCTCCAGCTGCAGATGCTAAAGTGAGCCATTTTATTCTGCTTTCTATAAGCTTTTTCTTCTGCTCTATGACCTACTGACTGATGTTTGGAAGAGCAAGGAGCAGCGCATCTCGTTGGTGTTGAGGAAGTTCTTTCTCTAAGGTTTTCCACAGCAGACTGAATTCATACAAGTGAAGTCTGAGACCACACACCAGGAAGACTTTTGGACACTGAATGCCAAGTTTCTGAAGTCCTGCATCATAATAAAATAGAACATGGATGAGTATGTAGAGTAGACCCAAACAAATAAAGATACTTACCTTCAGTGCAGTCATCTCTGATGGTTTTAAGGAGATCCTCCTCATTTAGGTTTGGGTCATCTCTCTTCTCATCTCTTATGTTATGATCTATCTTGGATCGAACAAAGTAGAAATTTTTATTCATTTTCTGAATTTCTTGAGCCAGTTTTGCATCGTTTTCTTTGAAGCGATCACTGGAAACGATGATGAAGAAGTCGTACTTCTCAAACCCCACATGCTGCAGGTATTTGTCAGCTGTAAACTTGGTGGTACCAATCCCGGGCAGATCCCATATTTTAACATTGGGATTTTGTGGGTGGGGGTATACTGTGGGCTCCATTGTGGTCTCCTTTACGCCTGTTGGTGCTGATTCAGGTGTTTTGTTTTTTATTCCTCTAAGAGCATTCACCAGAGAAGATTTACCTGCTCCAGACTCTCCAGTGATTGCAATGTTCAGAGGAGCACTGTATATGCAGTCCAAATATTCCAGAGCCTTTTTAGCTGCAAGAGCCAGGTCATTGTTTTGTAGAGCTGTTTGAACTTCTTCTTTGCACTGCTCAGCCATGATGATCCCTGAAACAAAGGAATGAAATAATATGATGTCTGTAGAACAGTAGAATAGTAGAATAGTAGAATAGTACAGATGTCTATTTTTATTAACCCTTTTGACCTATTTTTGGAATACACATAAGAGCTCTCTCCTGGGAGGATAATTTGGGTGTTTTTATTTGATGTAGAGACATTTCTTAGTTACAAAATCTTCAATGGCTTGTTGCATATAAAGGCAATAAAAATGCTCACAGACAAAATGAATGATTTTGTCATAGCTGGCATGGCCCATATCATTGTGCAAGCTCTTTAACACCAGTGGCTTTAACTGTTCAGGAGGGCAGGGTGTTTTTGGTGTTATTTTTCTGTACTATAGTCCATTGCCAACGTCCAGCTTAATTCACTTGTACAAAAGTTTGTTTACTCGTGTGGTCTTTCTTTGTCATACTGCTAGGTGTTGTTTATCTCCTAAAATAATGCAGTGTTGCTTTTCTCCCTTATGTGTGCATTTATGAAACATTTTTACTCAGATACATTAAAAATATCTTTAGTGACAAGTGTGTCTTTAAAGGTACGAGGCTTGATTATCTCTGTAAATCATAGACTGAAATGGACAAAGCTAACACGCTAGCCGCCATGTTCCCGATAGGAAGATGACTTACATTGGAATATTGTCGGCCTTCTCTCTGTAACTGCTGGAGTGGGCCTTGTCATTCTGGTCTTAAAATGTTAATTTTAATCCGCTCTACATGATTGTGTGTTTTTTTTTTTCTTTGCTATTTTGTCCGTTAAAAAAAATTCTATTCATAATATGACACCAATTTCATTCATGTAAAACCACTAGCATTGTGAGTTTCTGTTGTCAAATCAGAATCAAAGTCAGAGATTTGACCACCATGAATCTTGTACTCTCTGTGTGGTAAAAGCAACAGACCATAGACCAGTGGTGTCCGAACTATGGCCTGGGGGGCCAAATGTGACCAAATGTGAGTAATTTTGTTGACCCTCAGGCCTTCTGCTGAATTGGTCCAAATATTCATAAACAGAACTTTTTATTGCAAATGTGTGCAAATTTAAGTAATTCTACCACTACAAACTCAGTGACATTCACATCGCATTGTCCCAACCCAAACCATATTAAAGTCTAAGTGGCTCTACACTATGTAAAATGAACCCATCTGGATAAATGACTGTACTGACCACCAATCTATGGTCCTCCACTTCAAATATGGTAAGATATGCAGTCCTCGAAGAAAACAGTTTGGCCACCCACACCAAAGACAGCTTGACTAACCTGTCACTGATCCATTATCAGTGACTACTGATGGTGATGTCAACTTAATGGTGACGTCTGAAGGTGCAGGCTCCTCACTGGTCACAGGAGCTACAATGACAGCACGCTCTCCCACAGCACTCTCTTTTACAACGCCCTCTCCCACAGCACCCTCTTCCACGGCTGGTGGTGGTGATCGTAGTTCTCTGATGAGGTCACGGAAAGCGAGCAGGCGGAACATTCCCTGGTCCTCATGGTCCTTCAGTCGTGGACTTCTCAGAAAGTCAACAATGAACGTCGAAGAGTTCCACTTCGGTCGATTCTTCACCTGGCACTTGTTCTTCCACCTCATCTTTCAATGACTCTGCCAGCTTGTAGAGAAGGTCTCTGCTGTGGGCACAGGTCAGCTGGTGAAGTTCTTGCTGGATCTCCCATCTCAGGTCACGTAGCACAGACATGGCTTGTTCTCTGGATTCTGTTCCTTTGGTGATCGGGTCAGGTTCTTCAATGATTAGCACTGGACAGCAGGTGGTGCTAATCTTGAACAAGTTCCCAAAATTATTGGTCCCCTGACAAGCAGTTCAGAGGGTGTATGCCTCGGTGAAGTAATCCTGTTAATAAAAGAATAGACAGAGAATATGTGTTGAGCTGCTTTGCCTCACAACATTGATTGATTGTCCATAGAAGTGCAATATCCCATCTTTAAAGTCAGTACAAATCTGTAATTATTAAACTTCTACTTCTGTTCATCTTAAGCCACATCTTAAGCCACTCCCATTAGACAGACCACATAGTTACAGTGCCTTACTGTGCCTTTACACTCCGCTGTGCCAAATTACTTCAGCCATAACTAATCTGCTTGTATTGAAGGTTTTGCACTGTTGTTTTGCCCACACTGTATATATTATATCCAGGCATTGCCTGGATTATCAAATTTGTCTGTAACATATATTATTCAGTCAAAGTCTACTTAATTATTTACATTTTATTATAGCTTATTAAGCCGGGCCGAATAGCCACAAGTTGGTGAAGGACCTATTAACATTGTAAACACTCATCCAAGACACAAATCAAGTCACACATGCCCTGTGGACATGAATAAGTAGTGCACTATAACATTATAATGGTAAGTGGGTCAAGTCCATGTGATGTGTGCATAAAACAAGTACTTCATGAGGAAATGGTAAGCATGTTTTTCCCGCATTTGTAAAGTGTTGACCATGTTGTCTATGACATCCACCCATCTCTGCCTGGTCTGACAGGATTTATAGTTTTTACCATGACTCAGCAAAAACCTCATAGACATTACATTACCGCAAAAATGGCCACGCAGATCTGACTGGAAGTATCCAACTGCCAACTTTTTAAACAATCTAATTTACCTTACTTTACACTTCATAACTTCACAATTCTTAAATAATGAAAAACTATAAGAGTTACACTTTTTAACTGTTGTGGCCTTAAGGTACTTTTCTAATTCTGACTTGGTTTGGTGGGATAGGTGGGAATATGACCTATTTGTGTTTTTGTTTTCATTTGCATTATGTTGGTGTGGAACATTTTATTTTGAAGTTTAAGCACAGGCCCGATCCACGACCTCAGACACTGGTAGAGGGCACCTGTCCCAGTCAAACATCAGGCACCAAGTTAAATGTGGCACAGATAAATCCAGAGTAGACCCATGATTGTTTATTGCCACAGTAAATAAATAAAAATAATTAATTCAAATTAAATAGTTTGGATTCCCACAACGCAACTGGGCCCAGATGAGCTCTGCAGAAGTTTGTATGGTTGAGTTCTGTGTAAAGACGTCTGCTCTCAGCTGAGCAAGACCCAGTGTAGAACTATAAACCAGCCTTGAGTACTGTAGTATCACTCCACCAATGTAGCCTAAGGTCTAGATGCCCCATACTCTCTGGTGTGTTCTATATGTCATAGGTGACCTAGTGCGTGTTAGTGAGGGGGACCTGAAGAGAGGAGCTGCTCATTGCCGGAGAGATGTGCACTGCATTATCCCAGATTGGTGCTTTTTAAACAAACTTTTAGCCATTTTTAGCCCACAGTTTTATTGACTTTTAGTATTTTTATCCAAAAACTTAAATATTTGTGGGCATTTTTATCTTGTGTTTTTTTTATATTCTATTGTAGTAAACCCACTGAGCCACATAGTACCTGTGGTTAATATTTATCATAGTTTTCTAGTACGCGGTGAGAAGGAAAGTAAAAAAAATACATGAGTTCTGAAATAATCCTGGAATTATGTTACATCTGCTGCCCGTGTCCAACCAGGAAGTCAAATTAAAAAGTTCACTAGAATTAAAAAACAAAGAGACAAAACTGGTAATGAAAACTAGTAGTAGTTTCAGTGAAAAAGTACTCTGGCCTGTCATAGGCACTTAAACACCTCATACAGATTTGTCATACAAACACTGGTTGCATGAGCAGATGTTTCCAAACTCCACAGCCCGGCAGGTAAACTGCAGCTTTATTTGTATGTCAAAGGCTTCTTTCATTGCACTCTGTCTAGTTTGATTTGAATTACTTCATTGCCATAGCTTAAAATCCATACTTGCTCTATGTATTCTCGGGGTGGGTTAGGCACCCTTAATGTCCCAACCCAAACCATATTAAAGTGTAAGTGGCTCTGTCAGGAAGTAAACTTTGTACACTAAAATTTGCCAAACTGGGAAAATAATCTATGAGTTTAAGTCATAAATGTAATGATCTTAAGTGTGTCTTAGTAAAATGAGTAGTTCACTTTAGGTTTGAGGTAAATCTCCTCAAGTGAATCTCTGTTATGTCTTTGTTTTCTATATTTGTTTCTATTGTATAATCATAGTAAATCCCCAACTATAATACTGTATCATGTATCTGTTCTCTCCATCTTGAGCCCTCTAAACTTGCATGACAAATGTATAGAGTTTATTCTTTATTTTATTATACTTTACAGCTCATGTCATTAACATTCCCCGAGGGTTTGAAGCTAACTGGAAGCACTACTCTGTTAAAGGCTCTGTTACTCAAGTTAGATTTTAATCTGATCTTTATTTTAACACAATCTGACCAAAAAGCACTGACATAGCTGGAAGTTTTTCAGTTAGTCCCTCTCACCTTTTTGTGAAAATCAAACACCGAAACAAGACCATGAACGCTCGTATTGATCACAAGCCCCAGAAAATTTGTTAAATCCATTTTGTATTTTTTTCTAGATTTTTCAGACTTAAACTGTTTTGTCTGTGTTTGTTAATGTGTGCACTGATTTCTGCAGAAATGACTAAACTCTGTTAATCTGAGGTGAGATAAATTGTATTTATTAATCATAGGTGACCAATGAGCTCCTTTGTTTCTCATGTCACTGAAAAAAACAAGCAACTTAAATTAGATTACCTGATCATGTCTGGCAGGTTTTAGACAACTTGAAACAATCAACAGAAAATTCAACAGGCCTGAATCCTCTTTTACCATCCACTCATGAGTACTGTTACATCACCTAACTATCTAAAAATGTCATCATTTAACTTTACGATAAAATAAGACCTGTCTATATGTCAGGGAATTTACCCCGACCTCAAATATTAAAGAAGACGCCAGAGACACAGTGGTTCGTAACACAGAGGTCGTGGTAAATTCCCTGACACTATATGCCCTGACAGGGCTTGACATTAAACATTTAGAAGTACTTGACCGGGCAAGTGGCTATAACGTTTTACCTGCCCGACACCCAGATCTACTTGCCCGTGAAAACAAACTAGTGTTCAGTTAATTATATTTTATTAAATATATGGGCAAGTTAGTGTCGTAGTACTCCAGACCGGTTTTGGTCGCGAGACCGGCCTCGAGACCGATCTTTTACGGTTTTACTCTCACCTCGGACTCAACCATGTTTGGAATCAGTCTTATCTTGGACTCGAGGTCTGACACCCGACATGTGTGATCATATTTCATTGCGGCCGCTGTTGTTGGCAATAAACAGCGCAGGTTAAACGTTTTAAAACATCTTACCTGTCCACTTGGCTCCCGTCAGCGCACCACTCCTCGCCTTTTCACACTCTCACTCCTCCCTGAGTACACACACGCACACAGGCTCCGCCCTCAATGCGCTGATTAGAAGAGCAAGATGAAATGCGAAGCAAAAACTAATCTAAATTTATGTTACATTGTTGGCACAAAGCTACATGTGGTTGAAGTTTGCCTAATAGAAGTGCACAAATGCATCTGTATTTGTCATGGCGTGCATTTGGTAAATGTGCAGAGGCTGTTAAATCCCACTGCAAAACCAGTAAGAGAATGTAACTCCAGTTAGGAACTTGAAAAAACCCTACACACTTTCATCACTTTTTTCAAATTTTTCTGTAAAGTGCCAGTGGAAGTTCTCTTAAAGAAGGGGTTCTCAAACTGTGGGTGAGGGTCCAAAAAAGAGCAGCATTCAGTGCAGTACATTTTGTGCAGTATATTTTATATATATATGTGTGTGTGTGTGTGTGTGTGTGTGTGTGTGTGTGTGTGTGTGTGTGTGTGTGTGTGTGTGTGTGTGTGTGTGTGTATGTGTGTAGGTGGGTGGGTGTGTGTGTGTGTGTGTGTGGTCTTGGTCTTGTCTCAGAATTCTCAGAGGTCTTGGTCTTGTCCTGGTCTTGGGACCCTGTGGTCTTGGACAGGTCTTGGTCTCAAATCGTCTCAATTTCATATGGATACCAACATAACATGACCACAATGACTACATGGATTGAGAGAGCAGGGAATGTAGTCATACTTTTTTCTTTTTATAGGGTGGTTATTTTGAAGAATCTCAAATTTATAAAACTAGTTTAAACCATTTCATACTACACTTCACTACACAGTGTAAATATGAAAAAAATAAATAAGAAACATAAATGAAAAAGTGTGTCCAAACTTGAATAGTCACATTAGAACTAATGTGACTATTTATTTAGGCGTGTGCGTAATGATGTATCCAAACGAGTCTGCGTAAAGTTCTCCATAATTCTCCTCCATCCAGGTAGCCGCGTAGTAAAAGTGTAAAGTTATTCATCAAATTAAGAGCACGCGCGTCATGCGCTGCCTTTGATATAAAAGTGTCATAAACAAGAAACAAAAGTGAAACTTAAGCGCATGTCAGTCATCCTGATGACTGAACCGCGTATAGTAGCCTACGCTGTTTTAAAATAACAACATACATATAAAAGTAATTCATTGCTTGAAAAGTATTTTCTTAATAATATTGGTTATAATTTACATAAAAATATCAATAAATTGGAAATATACCCTTATGAAGAAAACTACAACATAGTTTGGACTGTTTAAATTTAGCTCTTTGTTCGCGTTTCTTATCGCTCCGTGATGGGTTAAGGAGACATAATTAATGTGTGTGGCACTACTGGAGAGAGGGGAAATGCCTCAGTGGGTCTCAGTGGGAGAGGGAGTGTCTAAGTACAGCTCACGGAAAAAAAACAAAAAAAAACAAAAGCGTAACACATTTTTTTTTAGACAACCTGCCTCTTCGTTTTTCAACCAAATAAATAGTTAGTATTAAAAAGGGAATAGATTTGTGTCGCTGTATTTTCACTTGCCCACTCGGGCAACTAGGCAGAGGAAAGCACTCGAACGCACAAACTTTTAGTTGCCCCGGGCCAGCGGACAAACCTTAATGTGATGCGTTTACAGCCACGTTTAATTTTAAGTCCCTTAATTCCTGCTCTTCCCGATTCATTGTTTTCTATTCAGGTTTTTCAGGTTTTCTAACTTTTGATATCTTTATCAATTACTAACCCTGAGTCTGTAAATAAAGTTATATATACTAAGAACATGCTTAAAAATATTAAAATAAAATCATACCTTGATCTTCCAGTCTGAAATCTGAGAGATGAATGCTCAGTCACCTCTACAATGAACCACACCCACTGATAGGAACTGAAAGTGGACTAGTTTGTTTTGACTACATTCAAATCTGCCGACAAAGAGGAGGAACGTGTTATTATTATTATTATTTATTTATTTTTATTTTTTTTTGTTTAGTTTAACGTTCTGCCATGTTATAGGCCTAATGTTGAAGAGGTGTTAAGGCTCATTTATGCTACGTTCTAGACCAGGGGTGGGCAAACGTTTTGGCTCGTTGGTCACAAAAGGTTCTGAAATTTGACGGAAGGGCGGAACCAAGAGCAGATGGATGGACTGGAGAGAAAAAATAACCTGGGATATGTAGAAAACCTGTGCTTGAATTTCAATTGAAAGTCATTACAAAGCATTACATCATAATATCTGTCTTTCAAGTCCCACGGTGTTTACTCTTTATTGAAATTACTTGAAAACACTGAAAATTTAATTAATAAAATACTTTAAAAAAAAAAAAAAAAAACTTACAGTGACTATTTTAAAGCACTGAAAGTCCTGTTCTCCTTCAGGATATTATTATCAACAGTCTCCTCCTGTCTGTCTTTATTTCAAAAACTGTAGAAGATGCAGATCTACTTCTGTTCAATGTGTCCCCAGAGATAAAACAATGACCAGCGCAAGGACGGAACAGTGCCAGCGTGCCAATATACAAGCGTGTTATATTTGGTGTGGTGTGCATTGTTTATAATGAGTGCGTTTACATGCACATCAGTATCCCAGTTATGATCGAGTTTTTTGAGTATCCCGGTTTTGTCATGGTGCATGTATACGCACTATCCGGGTTACTGCAATGTAAAGTTGAGTGCGAATGCGTCCGAAAGACAAATACTTTTCAGTCTTTTCATCACAACAGTAGCCAACATAAATAAAGTGACTATACATGAGTGACTGCACTAAACTTGCACACTAATCTGCACTTGTATGACCTGCACACGAATGGTCGCTGAAAAGTTAAACATGAAATATCTCCTACAATATGAACAGAACAGACTCAGCATCATCAACACCTCCTCTGTCACAGAAAGAAACACATCTATTCCACTGACACATGTCCTTTAGTCCGACAGAAGCTGAACCGCATCAGGACATAAGAAACCGAGCTTATCAGTGCTAACAGTTTATGCAACTGAGTCATGCAGTTTTAAGTTTTGTTTCTGTAAAAGTAAACAAATGTGTCAAACCTGCATTATATTATCAAACAGCTGATGTGGTTATGGTTTGTATGTTGTAAATGTAACATGTAAGGAAAAATTTACTTTAGTTTTTATTTTGAATTTCACAAAATCCTTCACTTCAATTCAATTTCTATTGTTATTTCATGGTTTCAGGCAGATTTTGGCCTATTTCCCAATGTTATCATTCTGTAATAAGAGTTGCACATTTTGCCTGTACTGTCCCTTTAAGAGCAAAGTGGTTTGGGTGCTGCACATCAGCGCCTTTCAGTCTGAGGAGGTGAGCACAAGTTTTTCAATGTCAATGTAATGGATTATTTTATTGTAGTATTTAGGCACTTAAGTTATATATTTATAGAAGTTCATAGGACAACATAAATACCAATCATTTACAAATCCACTTGTATAATTTGAACCATGTAGGAGTAATTTCATGTTTGTATTGTTCAAGTTTACTGTAATCACATGTAGTTGAGAGCTAGTTTCAGCCTTCACCATGTGTTTTCCTGCTGACAGATGAGCTGCATACATGGAGAAACATGTGACAAGGATTTGTATTTTTATTTAATTTGTGCAGGTATGTGCATTGTGTTTAAGATGTTAATTCATGTGCTATGGGACATTTTAAAATACTATAATTCATGTTTTATTTTATGTAAAAAAGGTTTAAAATGCTTAAAGAGGTTTAAGTATGTCAAATGCATATGCAGTGTATGAGCTCGCAGTCTGCCCAATGCTACTGAGGAGAGGACTGATGAGCTGCGTACATGGAGAAACATGTGACAAGGATTTGTATTTTTCTTTCATTTGTGCAGAACCACCAGTAAAAGTGTATCCAGTGGTCACCAGTGTCTCATGGTCCTTCCTTCAGCGGTCGCAGTACTCAAGATCAAACATATGGAACTTTAGAANTTGAAATTACTCTTAAAACACTGAAAATTTAATTAATAAAATACTTTTTTTTTTTTTTTAAAAAAAAAAAAAAATACTAACAGTTACTATTTTAAAGCACTGAAAGTTCTGTTCTCCTTCAGGATATTATTATCAACAGTCTCCTCCTGTCTGTCTTTATTTCACAAACTGTAGAAGATGCAGATCTACTTCTGTTCAATGTGTCCCCAGAGATAAAACAATGACCAGCGCAAGGACGGAACAGTGCCAGCGTGCCAATATACAAGCGTGTTATATTTGGTGTGGTGTGCATTGTTTATAATGAGTGCGTTTACATGCACATCAGTATCCCAGTTATGATCGAGTTTTTTGAGTATCCCGGTTTTGTCATGGTGCATGTATACGCACTATCCGGGTTACTGCAATGTAAAGTTGAGTGCGAATGCGTCTGAAAGACAAATACTTTTCAGTCTTTTCATCACAACAGTAGCCAACATAAATAAAGTGACTATACATGAGTGACTGCACTAAACTTGCACACTAATCTGCACCTGTATGACCTGCACACGTATGGTCGCTGAAAAGTTAAACATGAAATATCTCCTACAATATGAACAGAACAGACTCACCATCATCAACACCTCCTCTGTCAAAGAAAGAAACACATCTATTCCACTGACACATGTCCTTTAGTCCGACAGAAGCTGAACTGCATCAGGACATAAGAAGCGAGCTTATCAGTGCTAACAGTTTATGCAACTGAGTCATGCAGTTTTAAGTTTTGTTTCTGTAAAAGTAAACAAATGTGTCAAACCTGCATTATATTATCAAACAGCTGATGTGGTTATGGTTTGTATGTTGTAAATGTAACATGTAAGGAAAAATTTACTTTTGTTTTTATTTTGAATTTCACCAAATCCTTCACTTCAATTCAATTTCTATTGTTATTTCATGGTTTCAGACAGATTTTAGCCTATTTCCCAATGTATATATATATAATATATATATATATTAATATATCATAGTACAACATAAATACTGATCATTTACAAATCCACTTGTATAATTTGAACCATGTAGGAGTAATTTCATGTTTGTATTGTTCAAGTTTACTGTAATCACATGTAGTTGAGAGCTAGTTTCAGCCTTCACCATGTGTTTTCCTGCTGACAGATGAGCTGCATACATGGAAAAAAACATGTGACAAGGATTTGTGTTTTTATTTAATTTGTGCAGGTATGTGCATTGTGTTTAAGATGTTAATTCATGTGCTATGGGACATTTTAAAATACTATAATTCATGTTTTATTTTATGTAAAAAAGGTTTAAAATGCTTAAAGAGGTTTAAGTATGTCAAATGCATATGCAGTGTATGAGCTCGCAGTCTGCCCAATGCTACTAAGGAGGGGACTGATGAGCTGCGTGCATGGAGAAACATGTGACAAGGATTTGTATTTTTCTTTCATTTGTGCAGAACCACCAGTAAAAGTGTATCCAGTGGTCACCAGTGTCTCATGGTCCTTCCTTCAGCGGTCGCAGTACTCAAGATCAAACATATGGAACTTTAGAACCAAAAATGGTACAGAAAAAAGGTAAACAGTTTAATAAACTAGAGTACATATGTATCTGTTGAATACATTTTTATATCAGATGCATTAACTTGAATTTTTGACCTTGCTGTTTACTTCTGCTTGACCGGGCCCAATGATAATTTATTTAAATCAAACCAGTTCTTTAGTTTACACCTAAAACATTTTGACAGTGTTTGCAACGTGCATTGTGTCTCCATGGTAACTGCTGAACATTCCACCATAGAGAGACATGTAGAACACCCCCAGCATGATTTGAGTGTTCACATGATCTTGTATTGTCCTGCATTTGAGGCGTCACAGTTCAGAAAATGACCATGTGCTCTTTTCTCAAGTCCCCACCTGCATCTCTCTTCTTACTGATAAATCCAAATTTAATTAGGTTTAGTAACAGTGACTCAGCGGGTAGAGCCACCAATACGAAGGTCAGAGGTTTGATTCCCGCTCGGACCAAGTTCACAGATTGGCAGCCTCGTCTCCATCAGTCTGTCCCAGGGCAGCTGTGGCTATTTGCTTACATTACTGAGTGTGAAGTCAATGAATAATTCCAACGCAGAGTTTTGAGAAGCTTTGACAAACCTGTAAATCACTTGTCACTTGCTTGTCTCAATGGAAATAGGTAGAGTTAATGCCATATTGTGGAACATTCTATCTAGACGAACCCGTAGTATCACCATGGAGACAAGCAGGTGGCAGACCCTCCATGAGACAAGTGTTGCGTTGCAGCTTTAGGACGTTCTTTGAGCTGTTGTGTGTGTTGTCTTCTGCAGAGACGAGCTTCCTGTTGGGGAACGCTCAGATCGTGGAGTGGCCCGTCGTCTATAGCAACGATGGATTCTGTAAACTGTCAGGGTTCCACAGGGCAGAGGTCATGCAGAAGAGCTCCACCTGCAGGTACAAGCACGCAACTGCAACACACAAACTGTAACATCAACTGACAGGACTGAACCAGAAATATAAACCAGGACTAAACCAAGACTAAACTAGGGCTAAACCAGGACTGAACCAGGACTGAACCAGGACTGAACTATAAAAACGTGGTGGTTATGTCCAATGTCCCGCTGCCTCTGACAGATGAGAGGGAGGGAGCTGCGCTTTTTACCACGACAAAACTTCACTTCCTCCGCATTAAAGCAGAAGGTGGGACACAAGCATGGATTTATTAGGAGAGAAGGGACAGGTGGGTCAATCCGTCTTAATAATACAATTTTATAAAGAAAACAGATCAAAGTTTTCGATTACTACATTATTACACCTCTACTCCCCAACTTCCCATTTTATGAATTCTGTTTTACACAAGAAATGTCCCTGGTGTCCCTGTTTTTAACCAATTTAACACCTGCCAACAGTAAAGAGAGGAATAAATTGTCATTTGTTTAGGTCAAATACAGAAAAGTTGCTTAAAAATGACCAAAACACAAAGAAAATGTGAGTATGCTGACTCACATGTTAGTGGTGAATAAGTCATGAATGAGCCAGAACAGCAGAACAGTTTTCTCTGTAATTACACACTTCTTTCACAATTTATTATTACCAACCACCACAAACTGGGAGTGTCCCAGTTTTTGATTTTGAAAATCTGGTCACCGTAAGCTAGGTTTATTAAGTACATCTACTTTTTGAGCATTAAACATTTTGTACTTTTTCTTATTCAAAAGCTATAATGTCTTGTTTTAAATTGTTAATGGCTGAGGTAATGGTCCTAATTTGTTATTATTTTGAAATCTGTGCATTTCAGTACCTGAATGGTCCAAACTGTGATGTTATATTAATTACTTTTTCCAATGTCCAAAGAGGTCTGGCTGTAGAAAACACAACAACTATCCATGGTGACCTTGTGAAAATAGCAGAAGAGAAAAAGTACCAAGGAACAAACTATATTATACAGTATTTTATCTCTTAAGGAAGCTGAATTCCTTCAATATCCGCCATCACATCAATGTCCATCTTTTACAATTCCTTCATTGAGACCACTCTTACTTTCTCCTTCATCTGCTGGTACAACTTCCAACTTGCATCTTAGTGTAGAATAAAAGCAGGCTGCAGAACATTGTAAAGATGGCTTACAAAATCCATGTAAAATCTCTTTCCTTTATTCTGTGAGCAACAAATCCTAAGGAGAGCCACCAAGATCTTTCAGGACTCCTCACACCCCATGTTCCCAGAATTAATATGGCTCCCGTCTGGACGTCAGTGCAGTGTCCAGGTTGCAGGTCACAGATGAGGAAGGACATCTTTGTTTCCCTTCTCAATCAAATGGCCCTGACATGGGACCATCTGGCTTTTCCCTTCTGATCTTGACCCATCCTGCTGTTCACTTCTACATCAAGACCACTCAGTGTGCTTATATTGTATTGAGGGGGATGGAATATAAGCACCAAATTTGATTAATCTTATGAATTTGTTTGATTAGACTCTGTTAGTCCAATCAAACCAGGTGACAACTCTCTCACACCTGGTTGTCACCTGTTCAGGTCAGTACAAAGCAGCTTACCACATGGCAATGGGATGCACTAGAAATAATGGGGTTAAGGTTAAATTGGCTTTAACTTGTCTCCTTTTGTCTAACCGAATGCTTTCTCTTCTACCTGGTTGTCGTCTGTTCAGGAGGTCCTGGGCAGTCTGTAGACATATCGGCCACTCCGTGGGTGAAATTGGGGCACACTGGGGACAAAGTGCCACACCAGCTGTGCCAGCCATCATTGCCTGCCATGGAGTAACGTTAGCTGACCGACCTCTGGACTATGTCTAAGTTTTTAACCCCTTTTAAACCGGCTGTAGATTATTGTAATAAAATCTTTAAAACTGAACTTTGCTGTCTATAGTCAATCCTCTGGTGATCCAACCTATCTGTAGTGCGTGATGGTGAAGCCCTTAGGAGGTGTTACACCACCACCAAGTGAAGGCCACCATAAGAGGGCATAAGAGAGTCCAGATTCTACATGTTCTATCTACTGTAGTTTGGAACTCTCCTGTATCATTAACATTTTTGTGTTTCAACCTAACTACACAGAACCAGATGGTCTTTACAGCAGAAGTATTTTACTACTTGTTCTGCATTCTCACATGTTTCTGTTTTACTTTGTTACTTTTATTTCATTATTTATTATGCATAATATCTTCATGTAAGTATGATTATTATTCTGTGAAGCAGTTTTAGTGTTAATGTAAGGTATACTTTATTGTTGTTGTAGTGAAATGTGTCCTCTGCATTTGATCCATCCTTCAGTCTCTCCAGTTAAACTTGTCAGGAGCAGGGGGCAACCATAGTGCAACATAGTGGCAGGCATGTTTATTGTGCTTGTTGTACTGGGAATGTAACATTATTTTGAAGTTAGAAGTTCCTTTTACATGTAGTATCGGCCTACAAAATTACTTTTCCTACTTTGTGTCCCAAACAAACAGATTTAACTCTTTAACTTTAAGTAGTCTGTGTTTTATTTTTGCTCCTAGTTTTAGCCCAGTTATAATCCTGGTTTAGTCCTGATGTAGTCCAGATTTTTAACCATGTTTAGTCAAGCTTTAGCCCAAATGTTTTTCTGTGGTCACTGACACATTTGTCTCTTGTTTACATCCCATTTTGTGGCTTTTACAACTGTCTTATTAGCATATTATAAATGTACTCCTGCAGCTACTTGTTTTCACTGTTCTGTTGCTTTATACCAAACCATTATGTTTAACCATTCTCTTATTTATGTAGTGATGTTTAATTGCATAAGTTGAGTTTTGCTAATTGTAGTGACCTGTGCATCCCCCTCGTTGCCACTAGAGGGCAGCAGATATGTTTCACTGTTACAGAATGGGACAGCGTTGGTGGTTGATGTTGTTAGACACTAGATGGACAATTGTTCTGTATAAATTTCTTTGCCTTAGCCTTTTGGTTACTTCATTTCGGACAGCGTTTTTTTGTTTGTTTTTGTTTATTTTAGTTTTTTAAAATGTTTTCTAGTTCTAATACCCATAAACATCCCATTACAATAATACAATTTTACTTAAAGTCTGGTTTTTCTTAAAGTCTGTTTGTTGTTGTTTTTTTTTTTTAGTTTAAATTGTACTTCCTGGTTGGACACGGGCTGCAGATATGACAGTTTGAACTTTAATTCACTGTTATTTTCTGCATTTTTGTACTGATATAGTATAAACTAATGGTCAAATGATCAAACTAATACTAATATTGACTAAAGTGTTACATACGTGTAAAATAATACAATTTCTCAATTTCTAATGTTTTCTTTATTATATACAGTGTTCAGATAAAGAAATATTGATTAAGTTTGTGTTAAAGCCTTAAATGCATTTAGGCTATGATGTATAAGTTTATAATAATGCATGAAAATACAATCACAACTAAATAATAATAACAATTCAGGTTAAAAATCATGAAATTAAGTAAAAAATCATGTCATTGTCCCGATTATTTCAATATATAGTAAATTATTCCAAAATCTCATGTCTCGTCTTGCCTCTCTTCCCACCCCTAGTCTTAAGTAGTCTTTGCAGTGTTTATTTACTTTTAACACAGCATAGACTGTCTGCTCATATTTCATGTTAATGTATTTTTCATCCTTCCACAGCAGCTAATTGCTAGAACTTCACAACATTTATAATTTAAAACAATTTGCATAAAACCTGAATTATTGTGATCATTAAGATCTTGGCAAAATCTACTTTTTTTTTTTTTTTTACACACCTGTGTTCAACCCCAGACCTCTCATGAAAACACGATGTGCATCTTCTGTCAGTGAGTTTAGTATGTAATAAAGTGCTCTGTAGGTTGTAAAACTTGAAAGACTCATTGCAACTGGTATTCCAATAAATGGGACAAACCTGGCCCCTTCCTCTAAAGCTGATGCTGTGATGTGAGTGGCAGACATGGACAGCACTCTTAGCACCAAATTTCTGGTTACTTGATCTGCTGATGCCAAAGGAGATTTTAGCTCTTTCTTGAGATCATCTAAAGACACCCCACTAACATCCGACAGTTTCTGCAAAGAACCACGAGTAAGACCCAGTGAATTCAGACATGCAACACTAAAGCCTAATATCATGGTCAGATCAAGACCCTCAGAAATACCAGGGACAGGCACAGCTGCTCCAGCTGCAGATGTTAAAGTGAGCCATTTTATTCTGCTCCCTAAAGTTTTTTTCTTCTCTCATCAATGACTTCTGCACTGATAACTGGCAGAGCGAGCAGCAGCACATCTCGTTGGTGTTTAGGAAGTTCTTTCTCTAAGGTTTTCCACAGCAGATTGAATTCATACAAGTGAAGTCTGAGACTGGACACTAGGAAGACCTTTGCAGACTGAATGCCAAGGTCCTGAAGTCCTGCATCAAAATAAAACAGAAGATAGATGAGCATGTAGAGTAGACCCAAACAAACAAAGACGCTTACGTTTAATGCAGTCATCTCTGATGGTTTTAAGGAGATCCTTCTCATTTAGGTCTGGGGCATTGTACTTCTCATCTTGTATGTTGTGGTCAATCTTGGATCGAACAAAGTAGAACTTTTTATTCATCCTCTGAATTTCTTGAGCCAGTCTTGCATCATTTTCTCTGAAGCGATCACTGGAAACGATGATGAAGAAGTCGTACTTCTCAAACCCCACATGCTGCAGGTATTTGTCAGCTGTAAACTTGGTGGTACCAATCCCAGGCAGATCCCATATTCTAATCTTCGGGTTTTGTGGGTGGAGGTACACTGTGGGCTCCATCGTGGTCTCCACTGCACCTGTAGGTGCTGCTCCTTGTGTTTTGTTTTTTATTCCTCTCAGAGCATTCACCAGAGAAGATTTACCAGAGCCTGACTCTCCAGTGATCGCAATGGTCACAGGAAGATTGTTTAGCTTTTCTAAATAGTCCAAAGCCTTTCCAGCTGCTAGAGCCTGGTCATTGTTTTGAAGAGCAGATTGAAGTTCTTTCCACTCTTCAGCCACTGAAAAAGAAATGATAATAAACAATTATAATGAGTTATATGATTATCATTTAACATCATTTTACTGTCCTCAGTACCATCCACCCAGTCTTCAAGCTCCATGTTTGACTTCTGACAGCACTGAGGCACCTCAAGACTGTGTTTTTTCCCCACTGCTCTTCTTCACCTGCTGCACTTGTAGCTACGAGACTGTCAAAAATAAAATTTTTAGATGACATAAAAAAAAAAAAATTAATAAAAAAACATCCCAGAGCACGCAACCACTACAATGTCTCTCAGGGGGCTTTTTTCAGCTCAGGGAGTAGAAAGGAGCAATTGCTTCTCCGAGGAGAGCCAGGCTCACTCTTGATCACCTTAGGAGGATAAAACCCTAAGCCCACAATAAAATTAAAATCATCAACTTAGATTCATCCTACCCACATATCACATCACATCCGGTAAAGTAAAGAGGATACATTTTGCTTCAACTCAGTGCCATATAAGGTTATACTTTTCTAGCTGTAGAGCAAGCAGGAAACATCATAAGGTTATACAGCAGGAAACAGTTCACATTTTACATCAAACTATTGCCATATGTGGTTACACACTCGAAGCTGATTCAGCATGTCATGTTACGTAACATCCTAAACATGATACATAATGTAATTCTACCAGATGCAAGAGCTTCACTACTCAGGGCCCTGGGATCCTTTAACACCACTGTAGCCTTTTTAAAACTTTTTTCAATAGCAAATGGTGCTTACTGAAAAAAGTGTTTTCAGAGCAATTTTATTAAAGTTGAGAGTTTATAAAAGGTAAACCCTCGACACCTTTTTTTCGGATTTTACGAAGTGATGGTCTGATACACTGTACGGAGCGATGGTCTGATACACTGTATGGAACGAAGTATGTTACTTGAGAACAATGTTAGAACTCCTCCTATTTTTAGTAACACACAATGAAAGAAAGGAATGCTATCTAACATGCTCTGTTGTTTCAGTGAATGGCAAATATTTATATTTAATTCAAGTACAGGGTTTTGTTCATCACAGCAGTCACACTTTACTCTACACTATACTACACTACTGTTTTGACTTTGTCTAATGTTCTTGACTTTGTCTAATGTGTTTATAGTGTAAATCCCCAACTCATTTGTTTACTTAACCTCCTGTTTACTAGACAAGATAGTTACAATGAACACCATAGTGTTGCATACTGCCTAACATGGAGGTCAAATTCACAGAATTTCAACTAATTCAAATATAACCATGGCACACTTGAGGAAACTGAACAGAACTGAATCTTCTTCTCATAGTAAAAGACAGTGCAGATGTCTCTCCACTTAGAGGGGCAATATTTTAAAATATATTTAAAACAATAACTCCTACAGTTTTGAGGGCAGAGGGCAGGTTTTTGTGTACTTTTCACCATTACCATGAACGGCCTCTGTTATAACTGCATTTGAACATTGTGCCCATGTCCCCTCCATTCTGTTTGGTTTATCTGAGTATAAAAGGAGGTGACTGGCTGCTGTTCAGAAACAGCATATTTTAATGTGTTGGGCAAAATCAGTGAATCTAGTTGTTTGGTTGAACTGCCACAAGATTGAGCACACAAGAGGAAAATGATCTTGTGAGATTTCTTGTTTACATTTGGATGAAAAAGGATTACACTTAGGTGAGTTACAACTCTTACAGTTCAGAAAAGCAGAAATAGAATGGAAACAAACAAATACGTAAAAAAATGTGAGGGCAAACTTAGCAAGTAAATCGTGAAATTTAAATATTAGGAACTGTGTTGTGTTTTTTG